CACCTGAAATCCGTCTGGGCACATCCCTCCGTGCCCAGCCATGTTTCAGTAATACATGCCAGGTCTGCCCTCTCGTCTAAAATTAAGTCCCGGACGAGGGGAGCCTTGTGAACCACAGACCTGACATTTAGCGACAGCAGCCTGAGACCAGGGTCCTGATTGCTCGCGCCATCTGGCCTCGGAGTGGGACTCATAGGGCCGGAAGGAGGGATCTCTGTAATGTAGCGAACCCTCCTTCCCCGGTAATGGCCAGCCCTAAAGTCCCTGCCATATCTGCCCCTCCCTGTTACGACCGTAATGCTCCGGCCCTCTCCCGTATCCCTGGTCCCCTCAACCACCCCAGTGCCCCCCGCATTCCTCGGCAGGTCCTCCGGATCATACATACTCATTCACTCACCCAAGCAATCCCCACGTTTACTAAGGGGCTCTGGCTTTCTGTACACTTCTGGATGCAACCTAAAGTGCTAGTAGTAACCAGCATGGTCTCTTTGAGTAGTTTAAGATCATTGCTGAATGTAAGACACTGTAATTTTTTAAAACCTGTTTATAACTATAAGCATATTTATAAAACCATAAATGTGAGTGTAAAATAAACTCCTATAATTCTGTTCTTTTATTTTTGCAGTGTCTGCTTATATGACTCTTTTATAGTTCTAGATCTTTTAGTCTAATATTCATTTTACTTATTTTTATAAAATACATGCTGTTTATCATGAATGTTAGTCTTGGTCACGCAAAATATTCTGAATAAAGCAATCCATTATTGCTGCTTTAGCATATTCTTTTGATTTTCAATTTTTCCATGCATTTTGAGATGAGAAAGGAATATTTTTAGTCCAAAGTATCTGTGAGAATAAATGTTCTGCTCCTTTACATTTTATGGTTATTCATGTAGAAAAACATCATGATGCAAAGCTCTGAGGGAATATTTTATCTTAGGTTTAACAACACTGTACATCACTCTGAAACGTCACTTGAATGTGTATGTTTAAACCAATTTAGAAGTAGCATTAGGTACTTCCGGTGATGTTATTATTATCTGTATAAAACTCATGTAAATGTACAAGAATAGGTTATGTTAATAAACTATATATATATATTTATAAGTGGATCATCATGAAAAAGAAGTTGTATGAATGCTACTAATTGATAGAAAGTCTCCTTTAAATTAAACTTAATATCTGATAACTTCATGAGTTGTCATAAACCTTTCTTGGCACAAGTATGGAAATAGTTTACATTTTCTATTTCTGGACTGCTTTTTTGACTCCCCTAGAGAAATCCATGCAAAATGTAGTGGAAGGAGTTCCCTTTTGCAAAGACTTTTGTATATCTCAGATAAAAATGATGATGATGATTTTGATGAGAAAATTAGTTTATAATAATAACTGTTAGGTCCTATTTAAGTTTTTTATATTCTTTTAGATGGCTTATCAAAGATCCATGAAAGACCTATTATGTCTGATTTTACGTACCATTGGCCCTCCTACAAATTGTCAAATATCTTGCTGCATTTTTATAACCTTACATTAAATTTATGTCAACGCATATTATGGATTCAATCCATTTACCCTGTGCTATATGAAGGGCATATGATTAAATTTACAGAGACATAAATATTAGCATACATGTAAAATCATGTTTACATGACTATGAAGATTTATAAACATCCCAGCAACTTTAACAAGAAGCCTGGCTTTCAGCTTTAGATCACCCTGGGATGAAATAGCTCCTAACTAACTAACATAATGTAGAATCTTCAGTTGAAGGAATAAGAAGCAAGGATGCATTTTAAAGAGAGTTCAGTAAAGAATTGGCTCTTTTGGACCATGTTCAAATCAGACCAATTTACAAATTCACCTACACAAGAGCCAAAGAGAAATTAGTTTTACAGAATTCTGGTGATAAATCAGAGTTTAATTTTGTTACAAATGACAAGAGGTCCGTCAGTTCCTCCTCAGTTGCGTATAAGCGCTGACAAGTGCTCTACAGATCAAATTAGTTTGCCTTTGAAGATGCCAGCCACAGTTGCCCATGAAATGTAAAGATACCTCACTATCAGACTAATCACTAGTGGATTTTTTAAAAGAGGGTTTTTACAATATTACTACCAAATATCCAACTTCTTATGTTTCCAATGTTTTTTAGAAAATGAATTATTAGTTTTAATAATCAATATTGGATTAATATTCCAGTGATAAATATTTTAACTAGTTTTATCTAAGTGTAATAGCCACTATTATAAATAGTCTTCAAATAAATCTCTGGTACTTATATGAATCTCTTCTGCTTTTGTCCATGTGTAATTAAGTGGAGATACAGGATATGTATATTTCTCTCATTCTTCAATTTTTTTTCTTTCACAACTTTAGTAATTAAGGATGAAGGAGGAAATGCCTGAGGGAACATTTATATTTATAACGTTATGGTATCTCCCATCACAAATTTTATTATTATAGGTAATACAATTAATGCTAATAATATTAAAATATAGTTAAATATGTTAATGAGACATATGGAATATTTTATGCCCTGCAGTTTTCAGTTTTCAGATTTTTATGCTCTATGCATGGCATTTGCACTATTCTGGCATTGGTGCTACATTACTATGTTCATAGAGTGTCATTCTCCTGGACAATTGAGCCAATTTTGTTCCCTTTTGGAACGCAGCACAACTCACATCGTGAAAATGTTCAATTTTGCAATCTACAGTGCTAGAGCTCAACAAGACTTAGGAATGAGTTATTTTCTTATTCTCATTTTTTTCCTTCACTCTACCTCCCATCTTCTACCTCAGAATTTTCTGAGGTAAAATTACTTATATAAGTAACATATACCAAACTAATACAACTCTTACCCTGGACTCGAAATCATTTTTCTCCCTCTGACCCCCACACATAGTGGCTCTCGCTTTCCCATTGCAGCAATGCTTAGGGAAAATGCCTGGAAATGGCTGGAAATTTATTGAGTCATACTTTCCATGGCTTTCAGTGGGAATTTATCAGCAGGATGAATTATGCCTTGATAACTAGGTAGTTTTCCCTCATACCAACACATTTGTTATAAAATAGCTAGAGAAATGCACATTGAATGAACTGAAAACATGGTGGGGAGGGGGAAGTGAGGGAGAATAGCACTACATATTTTACCCTTTTTGTATTGCATTGGTGCAAAGGAATTTTATTACTAAGGAAGGTACTATAATTCTTGGGTGAGAAATTGACAGTTTTTGTATTCTCCTATTGATTGACTACAGTGCAGCACTGATGGGCTCATGTCCTTATTCAGCCTCATTATTATGAAGGAGGGGTGTCAAACTTGCAGCCCATAGTCCGGATGCGTCATGTGCTGGCCATCCCCACCCCCACTTTAGCAAAGATGAAAAAGTCATGATACATCATGTGATGCCAATGTGATGCTGTGAGTTTGACATCCCTTATTATGATCATTATTATGATCTCACAATCAGTTCCTAAGAGTTTTGGCCGGATTGTATAATAGCAATTATCCATCAAGAAATTGTAAGTTGAATCAATACCATCCTCCGTCACAACATATAGAAATTATATAATGTTAATAGATGACATGTACAGGTCTAGAAAAAGGGCAATTAGTAGTGATGACTATATAGACTGTATTCATCATAAGCTTAAAAGAGAAGATATTTTCCTGATATGGTCTACTTAAGTAACTCCATATTACAACTGAGAACTATGAAATTTTGGATTGCCCAAGGCCTTACAAAAATATATATTGCTAAACTCATTGCTTGTATCTTTAATAATTGTACTGTCCCAGAGGAGTTTATCTTTTACAAGCGTGAGATATAAATTTAAATTTAAAATATGGACTTGTTTCCTCCAGATACTGTCAGATTGTATTCATGAAGTTTCCTCATCTGATCGTTTCCTCAGAGATTTATTCTCTCTTTAACATGTCAACATCTATCCCAGAGAAAAATTGTTTAGTACTGTAAACTGTACCAGGAGGCAAAGTTGCATTTTTTCATTCTCTATATGATGGATTTCTCAACATTTTCTCAGATAAATCACAAACCATTCTCTTTAACTATTCCAGCAAAGGAAGCTTCTATCATTTTGTGAAATATTGGCAGAGTTCCTAGTGTCGTAAGTATACATTTCAGGAAAACCATGCAAACATTTTATTTACTGTAATAATAAATTCATCAGTGTACTCTGTTGTGAGGATATGAGCCTTTTTGTTAGCAGTAAGCATACCTAGAAGACCCCAAACTCAAGTTATCTTTGTAAATGCCTACTTCAGATTAGGAGACTGAATCAACGAGCATTTTCATTCTCCCCAGAGTCAGAAGAGGCTGCATGATATTCTTCATTTCTGGCTTGTGCTTAAAATTTCATTCTGATTAATTCAGATTTATGGCATGTGCCTAAGAAATAATTTTTTACAGTCTTCTTTTAAACTCCTTAAAATCTTTGGCATGTGGCTAAGGCAAGATAAGAGATCAAATCAATAACTTTGCAACACAACTCCTGGGTTATAATAAAGTGGGATTATTAAAGAGCTAATATACACTAAATGCCAATAGGAAATTACTGTATAAACTTTATAAAATATAAAATATTTTAGCTAATAAGCACAGTGCTCTTGATAAAGGAATCTTACAAAAGGCTATTATATTTCTATGTAGTGAAATAGTCTACTGGCACTTGAGATACTCTCCCCTTTTTTGTTTTCAATGCTTGCCTAAATTTCCATTTGTTAAAAAGTTAATGTAGACAGAGGGAAGTAAACATAAAATACTGCTTTAAAAGAAAAAAACTATCTGTTTGCTAATGCTTTCTTATCCAGGAATTTACCGCAGGTGTTTATTGTAAAGACACAAAACTAGTAGGTAAAGCCAAGGGTTTTTTCCATTCTTCAGTCATACTATTTTAGTTGGATACTGGGACTGTGCAAAGATTAGAATTAAAAAGGCAAAATCATTTTTAAGGGCATTATAAAACCATTTCCTACCATTGTACAATAATTGTACAAGCCCAGGAAAAGATATTGCTACTTTAAGATATTTGTAATGTGCTGCATAAATATCAGCACATGTTCCTAATCTCATTTTCCCTGCTAATTTGTATCTATACAAGTTCTATTTGAAACTTACAGGGTTTTCTGTCTTTTCCTAATTATTTTTCCTAATTACTATCTGAGATAAACTGGGACTATAATTCTCAGAGATTCTTTCTATTATAGTTAGTGCTCATACTGGCTGAGAATTCTAGCAGGCAGTCTAGCATTTATAGAAAACACTATTTTATGGGAGTTTGCTTTAGCGCAATGTTTCTCATCCTCAGCAGCTTTAATATATATGGATGCTAACTTGGGAATTCTGGGAGTTGAAGTTCACACTTCAGTAAGAAATATTATATTTAGTATTGTAGCTTCAAACTGTTATCACTTTAAACATCAAAAATTAAACATATTACATGGAATTCACATTGACACTATTGAAGCTTCTTGGTGTATTTGTTTAAAATTAAAATAAGCCAAAATACATCTTAAGGCAATTCACAAGAGCACTTCAAATTTATTTTCCACATTTTATGAGAGTATTTTAAGTGTCATTTTATGATCCAAGCTTGATATAGTTTGTTCTCTATGTTAATTCATGCTGTGAATTTCCTAATAAGCTAAATTTCATATTGGCATCCAGCTGTGTCTGCCTATGTCAACAAAATGATTGCTTTGTAAAAGAGATTTGAGTACTGTTTGTTGCTTGTTATTTGAAGGGCAAACATAACTTAAAGGTTCTTGTATGTGTGTTTTGCAAGTACTGTCCCTTTTTAAAAATGGGTTTCAAACATAGGGCAGTATGAGTTACCAATAGTTAAATTATTTTTTATTCCAAACTATAAAATTATACAATTTTACTTAACAGTTTACTAATCCAATTGTAGTACAAATGAAAGAATAGTCACAAATAATTTTTTTGGTGTTGCTTTGCTCTAGTTTGAAAAACACAAACTGTAAGAGAATGCTATGATTAGAGTAAGAAAGAGAAAACTATATTTATACATATACTGTATCTATGGCTCAGCAGCTCCAGGCTGTATTATCCTGTGATCCATAGAATGGTAGCCTGAGTGTCTATTGTGACTTCTCCAAATTTTATGGTAGAGAATATTAGTAATTACAAACCAACCAATCTTCAGGACTTTGGGGATGCTTTGTGACATGAAATAAGGCAGATATTAGTATAGTCTTTATTGTCATTGTACAAAATAAATACAACAAAATTGGTTATTTAAAATATTATTATTAATGTGATAAAACATATTGGATATTTATAGGATATTAAATATATAAACTTAGTTGGTTTGATATGGAAAAAATCTTAAGAATTTCAACATGTTTGATATATAATACATTCATTATGCTATTCCCTTTTGGAGTAAAGCATTGAAATACAGACTGCAGAAGAGTAGTAGGAAATAGTAAGATAAATAAATTAAAGGTGCAAGAAAAAAAGACAAGGAAACATGGCTGAAACATTTCTCACAACTAAAGAGAAAGGGCCTGTGTGTTTCATCTCCAGCATAATACCGCATTGCATTTCTCAGATTTTGATTTTTATAACCTCTTGTATACTTTCAATTAATATTGTGGCACTATCACACCCTATTAATTCCTACTGTCAAATGAGCTCCTAATAACTTAGATGACACCAATTTATAGTTTTTGATACACATTTGACCTCTTTAATTAAACAATTAAACATAATTATTCAATTCTCTGAATCTGTTAATCAACATTACTTCACAAGATTAGACCAGTCTTCAGATCTGATATATTCTTCACTCCTCATATTTTTACATACACATATTCATTTCATTCATTACTTCATATTCTTTCTTGAGTCTCTCTCATTCTGACCTAGAATCTACTATATGCCATCATCATCATTGGAAGGGTCCATAAACCATGATCTCTATTGCATATTGCAAGTCAATCTTAAGGAATAGTCTAGTCATCTGAGAGCTATTGGGCCTCTAAAACATGCAGATGTATAAACATGCCAATTAAAATGACAGCATGGAGACTAGCAAATGTCCTCTAGAATAAAATCATGTAATATAGGTACAATAATTTAAAACATTTTGAATATTCCTGGTTACCTATGTCTACTGTAAATTGCATTGATACATTCTGAAGTTTCAATAAAATTCTTATTATATTCCTCTTCAAATACTGATCTTAGAACTGCAGCCTTGGATGTATATTGACATTTATAGGAATATATTAAATATGGAGAGTAAATGCCAAATGCAATATTTATCAACATGGTAAAATGTTATAGTGCAAAAACATGAAAACTGTAATTTAAGCCATAAAATAGACATAGCATGTTTTTTTGTTCAATAATCTTATCTTAAAATCCAGAGAAAATGACTTGACAAAGACCTTACCTGAAATTGCTTCATCCATTCCGAAACTTCATTCTACCCAGAGCAAAGGTTATTCACCCATATCTTTAACCATAACTCCAACTAAGCTGTAGGTATGTATCTGTCCTGTTAAATTAGAATCGCTGGCAATCTTGAGGTTGCACTAAAAGAAGACATATATTTTGCCAAGCACATATCTGAATGTCTAAAATTAAATTTCTGGGTGCTTGTTGTTCAACCATAAAAAAACCTGGGCTTATGGTGTTTTAAATCTGAACAGCTAGTCAATACTATTTCATTTATACTGATTACTCTTGTAGAACTTGTTGCCTTTATTATGCATTAAATCTCAATATGTTATACTTAAATTATTTCATTCAAAGATATGCTTGTGAACAATCAATAGTGGGGAAGAGAAATATTGTGCTTTAATAACATACTGTTTCATGTTGTTGCACTCATATCATGAGGTATAAGTTTAGTTGCTCTGTTCGAAAATAACCCCATTTCTGTATGTTCTTAACTTCATTTTTGTTTCTGTTTTTTTCTCCAACAAAGCTTATAATGAATCATGTAGCTTCTAAAATGTCTAAATCAAATACTTTTGGGAGATAAATCTATGTGTAATTAATAATAAACCTATAATTATTCTGAAATAAATACTGGGATAATTGTAAATTTCATGTATTACCATTCAACTTCTTGGATAACAACTCAATTTTATAAAAAATTGTGTTTACAGGGTGCAGCTTTAATTCGAATGCTGGCTAATTTTATGGGTCACTCAGTATTTCAGATGGGCTTACAAGTACGTAGAAACATTTATTTTTTCATTCCTTACTTGCTTATCTTTGCATTTATGACAATATGTTTTTATTGTCTGTGTTTCTGTCAATTTTAAATATTTGATTAATGGAGAAAAAATAAAGTTGTGTTACATAAATGTTGTATCATTGTAGAAAATGAAGGTTGGTTTATATGTAATTTTCCAAGTTGTGTCCAAGGTGTGTTTTTCCCTCTTTTAAGCACATTTTGTGAGATCTAATTTGTATGAGTATTTAATTTACATGAGCATTTTTACAGTATGTCAATTTAAGGGAATGGATAAGCATAAAATATTTGTTCAGTGACATTCCTATCTTAACAGAAGAACATATATAAAAATGCAGAATTTCCTGTTAGTAATTGCAATCTCATATAAAATAATTAAGCAAAGATATGATTTTAGTATAACTGAAGATATTCCAAAAATGTTTACCATTAAAAAGAAATTATTATTCAAATTATACTGTTTAATTCTGAGTATAGAGTGGAAAGAAAAAACATAAGAGCAAAACAAAAGAAAGAAATACATAAAACATTAGAGAAGGTCTGTGGAATCTTTTGTTCTTTAAAACATTCTGTGTTCTGTAGTGCAGACATCATCTTATTAGGAATTCAAATCTTCCTGATAGGGAAGATCCAATTCAAATCTTCCTGATAGGGAAATAAAATGTTAAAATTAGAAATCATAATATACTTCATTTAAATGTTTTTAAATATAGAATTGTTAAGCATTGATAAAGTACCGAACTTTGTGATAGTAAATAAAAATATATTGTGCATACCTAGAACTTTTGCTGTAGGTCCACAACTGAATAAATAATAATATATTTTAAACTAATTTACTCATCTGATGTGATTCCTATTGGGCCATGCAAGGCATTCAGGTTGGTGAATTTCAGACTCTGAAGTCTGCATGTAGGTATATTTTTGTAAAATAATGTAAAACATAATAACAACACCTATATTCTTAGACACTACCCTAATAATTCTTAGGTCCTTGTTAGGTCTTGAATTATAATTCAAGTTAAGTTCCTATCAGTCATACATTGTGAATCTACAGTATTCACACATCTAACAGTAAAAACATTTTTTTAAAAAATGTGGAAGCAGAGTTTGAATGTGAACTTTATTTTCCAAAATCAAGCAAAAATAGAATACATTACTGCAAAAAAAAAAAAAAAAACCCTTAACCTTCTAAAAAAAATCAATACAGAACTTACATTTTGGAAAATGTCATAGAGTTTATACAATAGTACTTAATGCTTTATTTATACTTTTATTAAAATGATTCATTTGTATTAATTATATTTGAAAAATTAATAACCAGCAATACTGGCACATATGTTGAAAAGTAAAAAATTGTGAATGGAGAATAGTTTATTTTTTTATATGTCAAGATAAACACTTCAGCAATAATTCCAAATAAATTAATGTTTCTAAAACAATTTAAAAGCAAACAAGCCAAGCAAAACAAAAGAAAAAGAAAAACAATGCAACTCTGCCCCTTTGAAATGTGTTTAAGTAAATCATATAACAGACAGCTGTGATTGATGAATTATGCATGATGCACTCGGTTACTTAGAGGTGTCCTTTAAAATAAATTGATGTTCACCTGAAATACAATTATGGTTAGATGGAAAGGGCAATCAATCTTATCTGTTCTTAGTGAGCTTTCAATCTGAAATTTAAATAAACTCCATCTGGGATCACAGCATATATTAATATCATTAGTTTATTTTCACCCAATAAAGTGAGAGTTAAAACATAAAGCAAAAGTTAAATAAGTATATTAAGCATACTATATAAAGATGCATTTAGTATAGCAATGACAGACATCATCTCCAGGAACCATATTCCACCCAGATATTTAGGAATGGTGATTGATTCAGTTTTGAAACAGAGTTGAATCTGAAATAATTAAAAACACTATTTCTTTAACTTTCTGCAATACATCTATATCTTGACATGGTTTATAGGGAGGGTAATGTAGAACCAGGGGTGGGTTCCTGCCAGTTCTAACCTCTTCTATAGAAGAGGTTCCACAAATCTACAGTGCCGTTTAGAACCGGTTCCAGCTCTCTTCCCCCCGCCCATCGGCCCATCATCAAGATGAAGAGTGAGGGGAGGAATTCTGGGAGTTGAAGTCCACAAGTCTTAAAGTTTGAACACCCCTGGGGTTTTTTTCTAAAGCGTTAGGGGTGCAAGGGTCTGGTAACTTGATAGCTTTAAGACTTGCACACTTCAATGCCAGAGTTCCTGAGCCAACATGACTGGAGGGGGAATTCTGGGAGTTGAAGTCCACAAGTCTTAAAACTGTCAAGTTTGAACACCCATGGGTTTTTTTTTCTAAAGGATTAGGAGTTCAAGGGTCTTGTAACTTGACAACTTTAAGACTTACATGCTTCAAATGCTAGAGTTTCTGAGCCAACATTTTGGTTGCTAAGCAAGAGCGTTGTTAAATGAGTTTCACCACATTTTACAAGTTGGCCATGCCCCCCCGGTCACATGGCCAGCAAGCCACTCCCACAAAGCAGGCCACACCTACAGAAGAGGTTCTAAATTTTTTTGAAACCCACCACTGTGTAGAACGTACAGTAAATGAGTCATTAGATAGGTTACTCAGAAGTGTACATCTTTCATTTAACTCAATGCCTACTTTAAGATGGTAAAGTGTATCTGTAATTAAAAATTACTAAAGAATATAGAAAACTAAGGATTATCTGACTGTATTTCAAAGAAATGTATATAGACAAATTTAAGGCAGAAACTAAAACTTTCCCTTAGCTACAAATGTCCTATGATAGAGCAATCAATTATATTAGTTAATATAGACAAATAGAGGCTAAAACTGTTTTTATGGTATCACTGAATAATGACATTTTGAATTATTTAAGAGAAAATAAGATGCAATTATGAATAATAAATGTGCACATGACTTACGGCA